CCCCGGCACGCACCACGGCACGCACCACGGCACGGCCCGGCACACCGCCCGGCACAGCACGTCTCTCTCTCTCTCTCTCCCCGCACACCGCGGCCGTTCAGCCGTGGACATAAACCGCTCACACCCTGACCCGGGCAGAGCATGTCAGGGCAAAACTGGACTCCAAACACTATTAATTCCCTCCCTGAGCCCGTGGATCACACCTTACTAGCAAGCATGCTTCTCCAGAGATGCACCATCAACCCATCTGTACCAGATGTACAGCAAACTTTCTAAAGGTATTTCCCACAGCTTCCCCCTCCTTGCCACTGGCTCCGTCCACCAGGACTGAGTCTGATGAACTGGGAAAACTGCAACGCAAATAGTTAATCCGTCACAAGTCTTCTTTTCAAACACAAAGACCCAACACCAGAACACTTCTAGGACTGTTCTGAAAGTCAGAATCACTTTCAAATTTCTCTTCTCCTGACTAGGAGTATTCCTGTCCATACAGATCCGCTGCTGAGCACTTGGCTTTGATGCCTCTACAAGCCACGGAACAGCAGGCTCCATTTGTAGCACAGAGCAATATCCCAACTTCAAATCATAAAGGAGTGAAGCAGTGAACTGCCACTCAGTTCAAAACTAAAAACTGCCCTAGAAAAGATATGAGCCTGTAAAGCATGATTTTACAGTGACACTGGAATGGTAGCCACACAGGAATAGTTACTGAATTGGTCAATGAAAAACACTAAAAGGGTTAAAACATCATCTGTATCCACTTTTAATCAGCCACAGCTAAGAATATGGTCCACTCAACATATTTAGCTTTTCATTTAAAAGTGTCATCAGTGTGTATGGGCACTGCCAAGTAGAACTACACATTTACTAAAGCAAACAGGGTAGTGGAAGGTAGATGCACAAAGGACAGCCCATACCAGTGCAGGTAGTTGATGGAATAGCTCCAGTGGTCTTCAATATGCCAGCAAAAGGAGGAGAAGCACATCCCTACATACAGCCAAGGTACCTTCATGCCAGAGATATCTGCATTGATGTGAGCAAGGACTGATTGTTCTAGAATTGGCATGTTATTCAAGTTCCAACCAGAGAGTGCATAATCCTGCCAGAAGAAGATTTGAACAAGTCACAAGAACATAAGGACACCAGCTCCAGAAAAGGAAAATACAAAGGAAGAGATCAGCCTATCCATTTCTACAGTAGACAGTGAGACATTTCCTGCAACAGTGAAACATCAAAACTAGAAATAATGCATTGAATACTTTAGTCAGCAACTAATTAAATTGTGATTTTTAAGGCCAGTCCTAGTCCGACAGACTAGTCCATGGTCCAGCGTGCATGGACCATCTCCTTTGGATCAAGGTTTATATGCTTAGGCTTTGATTTCCCCTCCACCCAAGATTACAGGTTTCACACTTCCCTGCTGGAACAAAACACCAGCAACACTAGCACAAGAACTGAAGATAGTATGCGATAATAAAGAACAACTTTAAACAACAGAGTTATTTCAGCTTTTCTTAACACCTGTTTTACTGCACTGCATTTCATCTTGAAGTTCTTTATAGATTACTTTAGAAAGCTTTCTCAAGAGAAGAAATTCCTACACACTCATTTTTGAGAAGACAGCATTACCAGTTAAGCCCTCTCACCTTTACTTTCAGATACACACAATTTGTCAAAAAATGACCAGCCAGCCAGCCTCAAAAGCTCACTAATGTGCTTTAACATTAGTCTACTTTCCATCTTAAAAAAGCTGTAAGCACAGATCCACAGGCATTTTAGGCATATCCCACAGTTGTTTCAGGACTGGTCAAACCCTCAGCTCAGCCACACGTTCCTGCTGTTTCCTTTGCTCTAACACTACAAAGACAATGCAGTGAGTCAGATGACCTAATTCATCTGGCTAGAAAAATATTTAAGTGACTACTTTCATACAACGACATCAGCAAGCAGTTCTGACTCACTAAGCAGCTACACAACCACTGCATAGCCAGCAAAGATACATGCAGGAAGGTGAAGGCATGGGTGGAAGACAGCAGTGAGCAGGATTACCTCTTCCAGTGAGCAGTAAAAATTGATTTGGGGCTGTGTAATCAGGAAGCCACACCTTTACGCTCATTTTGTCTGCATTTAAGTGTACAAGCAGCAAGAAAATTGATATGCTACAGTGAGGTCTGAGGGAAAATAGGCAATATACTTACCAGATGTTCTTTATAAAATTTTCTGTGAACTTTTCTACAAATTCATCATCTATAATAGGATGCTGTATATCTACATCTTTTCTTTCTTATAGTATGTACAGTCAGAGAAACAAGCTAAATCAAATTAATTTCTTTTACCCATAATGAACCTGCTAAGGAGGTTAGAATCATGTTTCTGTAGCTAACTCTATAATGAAAAGGTTTGGAATACGAAAGAAAAATATTATTAGCCTCCTCATACTCAGACATACTGTAACAAACTTGCACATCTTTGCCTGCTGAGATCAAGTGACAGAAAACAGGTGTGACTTAAATCATGAAAAGCAGCTTACTTTTCAGCAATCAGATCTGTAAAAGAATGTCAAATATCAGGTTAATGCCTTGCTCAAAAGGAATGTTCAGCACATGCAAATGCTTTAAGCAATTTCTTCACGAAAAAAATATCCATGCTGATACCTGACCTAAATACTTAACGTGAAATCTTATGCAGAGCAAAGAACAGGGTCAGTTTGCACATCCTGTTCCTCACCTCCTCCTCTGGCATCAGCTTTCGTCGGCCATCCTTCACTGGGAAGCCACTTCCAAAGTCCTTGGATGAGATATCAGCCCCATATTCCACAATGACATCTTCTTCTATGCTGCTCACCAACCGCCAGAATTCTTTTTCTACAAGCTCAGTGGGAACCATCTGAAAGCAGAAAAGATGTTAAATACCCTAAGACAAGACCCAACATAAGAATTATCATTCAAGCAATAAATCACTATGAATTCCCCCTGAATTTTCAAACACAAAGGTCACTCCCTCTCTCCCAAAGTCAGTTCGGTCTGCATCTCTCTGCAGTGGCTGCAATGTTCTGAAATAGGACATCATACCATGGAGAAAGGAATAAACAGAAAAGATGGAGTCACCAGAAGTACAGCAAAAACA